GTGAAAATAATATATAAATTTAATAAATAGCAATGCAAAAGCATTTAAAATTCTTACCTTTTAGCATTTGAGGACTTTAGTGGAAAAATTGTATGTATATTTAATAGTTCCCCAATAAAATAACACAATAGATTTTACAGAAAAATACATAAGTAATTGTCAAATGAATGACAAGAAATATGAATACTAAAAGATCTCTCAAAGATATTTTATTTATCAATGAATATTTTTCAATCCCTAACAGAAATTAAATAAAGGAATTTTTAAATACCCAGAAATATAGTTAACAGGTTGATAAAAACTGAGATGTGTTTAAAATCCTTATAAAATTGTCAAAAAATTATTAAAATTATTATTGTTGCTTGTTGCTAAGTGTCATTTGAGTTGTGCATGACTCATAACGGCCTTATGAACAAAAGACCTGAACCTTGTTCTATAACTATTGCCATTTCTCTACATTCATAGAGTTTCCAGAGGCATGTTGTTTAGGAAGTGGATGCCGCTCCTGCTTCCAAGTCTGTTTCTTCATCTGGGAGCTCCACCAAAACTGTCCACCGTGAGTAACCACTATGTAATTTGACACACTAGTGGCACAGCGTTAAGTGTCACAGCAAACCCAAGTAACCTCAGTACAGTGAACTGACAGTCCAGTGCTGTACCATTTAGAAGAATGTTCATTCCAAACATAATTAACACACATGGTTGTGAATAAAATAAAACCAACCAAACAGTCCGCAGCCAAGCCTCAGCCACAAGAAGAAGAACCCACCTACCAGATTCTAATTGATTTGCACATGAGCTCCGAAATGGCCTTTGGAGCTTTAAAAGTATTACTACATATTTTTCTGTGGTGTTGCTTTAAATTTTTGTTTTATATTTTTTGGGCACACGGCCAGGAGGGACCAGTCTTGGGAGGACATCATGCTTGGAAGGGTAGAGAGACAGCACCGGCGAGGAAGGGCTTAGAAGAGCTGAACCGACATGATAATTGGGGCAAAAGGATGAGGTGTGTTGCAGATAGTGAGAGTGGATCAGGATAGGGCAGGGTTCAAGCTGTTGTACACAGGGTCACAATGAGTCTCAGATGACTGAAAGGCACATAACAACAACACACCAATCAATTATTTAATCTCTAACTTGTAACTCTGAATCATGTTTATGACAAAGTCTTGCTGTGAAGCTGTGCACCTTAATATGCTTTGATTCTGGTTGAGCATCATGGTTGTTATTGTTAGGTGCCGTTGAGTTGAGTTGAGTACAACTCATAGCAACCTTATGAACAAAAGATCTGAACCCTGCTCTAGCCTACAGCATCCTCACATTTCCTAATACACAAGAGACCATTGCATCAGTCACATTGTCAGTCCACCTGGTTGAGGGTCTTTTTAGACTTCGCTGACCCTCTATCGTTCCCAGCATCATGCCCTTCTCCAAGGAACATGCCCAAAGAATGTGAGGTAAAGCCTCATCATTATTGTCTCCGAAGAAGGTTTTAACTGCACTCTTTCCAAGACATAACTGTTCTCTTGGCCATCCGTGGGATGTTCAATGCTCTTCTCCAACACCACATCTCAATTCTTTTCCTGTCATCCTTTTTCATTGTACAGTTCTCTGACTCATAGTTAGTAATCAGAAAAATTATGACTGAATCAGATAGACCTTAGTCCTCAAACTGACATAATTACTCCTTAATAATTTGGAGAGACCCGTAACTGAAGATTTTCCTAGTGCAATTTGTCTCCTGATTTCCTGACTGTTAGTACCAAGGAAGTTAATTGTGGGTCCAAGCAAGATGAAGCTGTAGATAGTTTCAATCTCTTCTCCATCCATCATGACACTGCCTATTTAACATCATTAGTAATGTATGTTTTTCATGTGGTCTATCAACACTGGGAATTTTACAACATATTTAAGCATTTTCATAGTTATACAAATAAAAAACTCAATTTTTAAAAATTCAAGATCTGTTACAGTATGCTTGCATAGTTTTCAAATGTTTTACCTCAGTTTTCCCCAATATTACTTCCCTTATACATTTTCTTAAAGACTAACATGCAGCTAATTGAAGGCATGGACTTCTCAATTATTAGCTGTTGTTGTTTGTTGTTATGAGCCGTCGAGTCGTCTGTGACTCAAACTGACCCTATGTACAACAGCCCTAAACCCTGCTCTATCCTGTGCCAGTCGCATTGCCTCTGACACATCCATCCCGATTACCCCAGTCACTAAATTAATCCACCTCATAGAGGGTCTTCCCTCCTGTGCTGTCCCTCTAGTCTACCCAGGATGATGTCCCTCTCCAAAAACCTGTCTCTCCTTGCAACATATCCAAAGTATGTCAGATGAAGCCCCAGAATCCTTGCCTCCAAGGAATAGCCTTGTTTAACCCTCTCTAGGATGAATCTGTTTGTTTTCTTGGCAGTCCATGACATTCAATACTCTTCTCCAGCACCACAGCTCAAAGGTGTCAATTCTCCTTCTGTCTTCCCTAGTCATGGTCCAGCTCTCTGATGCATAACAAGTGATTGCAAAAACCATGGCCTGTATCAGGCACACCTTCATTTCCAAAGAGACACCGTTGCTCTTGAGCACTTTAGAGAGGTCCCTAACAGCAGACTTTCCCATCACAATACGTTTTTTGATTTCCTGGCTGCTGGTGCCAAGAGTATTGACTGTGGAGCCGAGCAAACTGAAGCTGTGAACAATCTCAATCTCTTCACCATCCATCCTGATGCTACCGATTGGTCCAGTGGTGAGAATCTTTGTATTCTTGACATTGAGCCTCAATCCGTACTGAAGGCTGCAGTCCTTGACCCTCTGCAGTAAGTGTGTGAGGTCCTCTTCAGTGTCAGTGAGCAAGGTTGTGTCATCTGCATAACGCAGACTGTTGTTCGATCTTCCACCGATCCTAACACCACACATCTCCTCATAGAGCCCAGCCTCTCAGATCATCTGCTCTGCATACAGGTTGAAAAGGTATGGAGATAGGACACATCCCTGGTGCACCCCCTTCTCAATTTTGAACCATACAGTGTTGCCCTGCTCTGTTCTGATGACTGCCTCTTGGTCCATTTAATCGTGCATTAGCACGATTAAATGTTCTGGGATTCCCATTCTTCTCAGAGTCAGCCACATATTGTTATGATCCACACAGTCAAATGCCTTTGCATAATCAATGAAGCACAGATAGACATTCTTCTGGTATTCTCTGCTTTCAGCTAAAATCCATCTAACATCAGCTACAATATCCCTAGTACCACGACCCCTTCTAAACCCAGCCTGGACTTCTGGCAGTTCTCTGCTGATGTACAGTTCCAGTCGTTTTTGGATAATCTTCAGTAGAATCTTGCTTGCATGTGAAATCAATGCTATTGTTCTATAGTTTCCACACTCAGTTGGGTCACCCTTCTTTGGAATGGAACAAATATAGATCTCTTCCAGTCATTTGGCTAAGTGGTTGTTCTTCAGATTTCTTGGCACAGCTTGGTGAGCACATCCAGGGCAGCATCTGTTAGCTGAAATATGTCAATTGGTATACCATCTATTCTGGGGGCCTTAGTTTTTGCTATTTCCTTCAAAGCAGCTTGAACTTCTGCCTTCATCACTATAGGCTCTTACTCACATGTTATTTCATTAAATTCTTCCATATCCGCCTAGCCATCTCAAAATAGGACAATAACTATGATCAAGATGCTCCTTGTAGGCAAGGGTGGGGAACCTTTTTCTCACATATTTTGGGCATGCTGCAAGGAAGAAGCAGACCTTGGGAAAGGACACCATGATTGTAAAGGTGGTGGAAGTGTTCACATAAGAGAGAGACCCTGAGCAAGATGGATTGGCATGGTAACTATAACAAGGTGGTATGTTCCTCAGGTCTAGTCTTAATTGTTTTGGTCAAACATTCTTCTAAGCAGCATAGTATAGGTCTGTCCATTTGCTATACAGAGGTAACTCATGCTTGCTGTGATGCTAAACACTGTGACACTGATGTGTCAAATTCAATAATGGTTACCCATGGTGGACAGTGTTTGATGGAGCTCCCCGAATAAAACAAGCTTGGAAGCAAGAGTGGCAACCACTTTTGAAATAGCTTGCCTCTGGAAACTCTATGAACTTAGAGAAACAATGAAAGGTATAAAGCATTTTGGTCTTTTGGTCATAGGGTCGCTGTGAGTCATCTATGCCTAGATGGCACTTAAGAACAATAACAACAACAAAAGAAAAGAAGAAGAACAATAACAATTCTTATACAACTTGATTTTAAAAAACGTGTGTGTGTGTGAGTGTAACAGTACTACTGTGTGTCTTTTTTATCTTTTTAACTAAACATTAATTTTTCCAATTTAACAAAATGCCATCTTTTTTATCTACTACGAAATTAAATAACTGTAGTCTTCTAGACCTGCTTTAAATGTATGTATCTTGTGATAAATGTTACATATATTAATTTATATTTAGAGAAGAAAACATTTTATGGACTTTTAATATAACAAGAGAGGTGTAAGGAAATATATTGCAGAAATATTGTCAGTCTATTTACTGAAAAGACAACACTGACCTTTTTAAAAATCAAATTGGTTCCTATGAACACCATGTTTTTGCCAAATCTTTTACTAAAAGACCATTGCTACGGTATTTTCACAGAAGCCAAAGCCTAGTGGAATAATCAAATGAAACAAAGTGAGAGTAAGTGGCAGTAATTCAATAAAATATGGCAGCAGTGAAAAGAAAGTCTTTAAAATAAGGTTTAAATATTTCTTAATGATCTCCTGATGTTTCCTCACCTAGTAAACTAAATGTGCTGAGGATGCAGGGCCAGATGTGTTAACCTGCCAACCTACCGTAATAGCATGACAGATGCTTCCTACCCGAAGGGGTCATGCAGGGGAGAGGAGAATGAGAGTGAGACTGACAGGGTGCCCTGGGAGGGTATTGATCCACTGACTCTTTTCTGGTAACCATTACAGAGACATGAGTTGACAGTAATTAAAAAGACTTACACACTGGGGTGGTTTCAAACTCAAATCTTCGACTGAAGACACCATAGCCTGCTGCTGTGCGTGCTCGAATTTGGAAGACATATACGGAAGCTGGTTTCAGGCCCTCTGCAGTAATAGTGGTCTCTTTTGATTTGATAATTGTATAGCTGGTCTCCTGGTCCTAGAAATGTAGAGTAAATATTAAAAAAAAATGAGTTCACAAACAAATAATAAATAACAGTGGAAGATAGAATGATAGAACAGAAATCAAAATGGAAATTAAAAAAAAACTCTATTAGTGCAAAAGTAATTTTTAAAATAAAAATAAACCTACACACAACCCATGTATTAGTAATATTGAATCCTAAAATGTCTTATTTAAATGTTTTCCATCTGTCCTCTGGAAATTTAAGAAAATTTATTTGCAAAACTTTTAAAATACAATTTTTACAGGATGATAATAACTTTACAGAATATATTTCAGTATTTTTACTTTGTAGGTTCTTCCCTCATAGATAATTTTTAGTGTCTAGTAAATTGAGGGAGCTCTGGTAAGAAAACTAGTGGTAAGAAACTGCACTGCAACGTTGAAGCCATGCAGTTCTCATCCACTAATCGTTCTATAGGAGAAGGATGGATAGTCTCCTCTCATGTGATTGACAGCCTCTGAAAACCCACGTGAGGGTCAGCTATGCGTCAGTTCTGACTCAGCAGTACTCAACAACAACATCAACAATAACAACTGTGAATTCTGGCTCATAGGGATCCTTTATCAAGTTTCTGAGGCAGGAAATTTTAAGAGTTAGATATTGCCATTTTCCTCTTCCAGAGCATCTGATGAATTAGAATGGTTAACCTTTCAGTTAGCATCAAATCTGTAATCTACTGTGTTATCAGGTCTACTTAGTCAAGGAACACTAACAAAGATAGAAATAAAAATATATTTTCTTTAATAATAGCTTTCTATCTTTCACTTCTGTGTATTTCAGATAGGTAAATTGTGAAAATAGTCTATATCTTGAAAGATAGTTTTGGAAACTGAAACAAATAGAAGTCATTCCAATTTTACTGTCTTCTTTTAACCTAGCTTTTGTAACCTCTCTTTATTTCTTTGAATTTACCAAACAATATAAAGTTTTAGGCGTGTAATATTTAAAATACATACAAGTTCAAGTTTGAAATTGTTATTTCTTGATATTTTTTTATTAATTCTTGGCATGGCATTTGTATGAATTCTTGAAACAGCATTTTTTTATTTGAGACTTACTAGTGGAAAATGGATTCTTTTTTGTCAGAAAGAAGAATGAAATATAAAGCAAGAGTATTATCCACATTTATCAAGCTATAGACTCTATTAGAATATGGCTATTATTGAATTTTCACATGATATATTAAATGCATAAAAGTGGGAAACAAATGCAAACCCTATATATTCTATTTAGGAGTTTACAAGGCTGACAGATGATATGCTGTGCCTTAGGAGTGGGCACTTAAACCATGTACTAACAGGTAAAAGTTTCATTTTTTACATTTGCCTTGTCTATTTCAGGAATTATAACAATAGGATTGAGCATTCCAGAAATAATTACACATTCAGTCACAAAAAGACAAATATTGCCTAATGCTGCTGTTATAAAATAGGACTGTCATTGGGGGATGGTAGGAGAATAGGAAAAGAGTGGATAGATGTGCATTAGAACAGATAAGGGGAGAACTTTCTGAAAGGAATGTATACTTAGATATTATATCTATGACAACACCTGGAATAAGAGGAGCATTGTAAAGTGGACTGGGGGAGGTGGCCTAAAAGGAGAGAGAGGAAAATACGCAACAATGAATGAATGAAAACCCAACCTTTCTCTAAACCTCTGTTAAAATCACAATAAAATATTAAAAAGCAGAAATCAAATGAGTATGGTGCAAGATAGAGCAACATTCAGATCTGTTATTCATGATGTGGTTGTTAGGTATCATCAAGTTGAGTATAACTCATAAAGATCATATGAGCAACAAATTTGAATCCTGTCTCACGCTGTGTCATCGTCATCTTCATTATTTCTGGCATACTCAAGTCCTTTTTAGTAGCCACTGTGTCAATCAATTCATCTGGTTGAGGCTCTTGCTCTTTCGCTGATGCTCCACCTTTGCAAGCATGCTAGCTTTCCCCAAGACTCTACTAACATTATGTCCAAAGAATGTGAGAAAAAGTTTTGTTATATTTGGCTTCAATAAGTATTCTGACCTTATTTTTTCCAAGATATATTTGTTTGTCTTTTGAGAGGCCCTGGGATACTCAGTACTCCTCTCTACCAAAACAATTCAAAGGCATCACTTATTCTGTCATCCTTACTCATTGTCTAGCTCTCAGATGCATGTTGTTGCTGATATGTACCATCTGTGAACTGTAACTTATAGCAACCCAATGAACAATAGTTGAGTCCTGCTCTAACTTGAGCCATTCTCATTGTATCTGATGCACTTGATTCCATTGTCACAGTTACTGTCTCAATTTATCTCATCCAGAGTCTTCCTCTCCTGCTCTGACCTCCAACCTTCCAAGGAGGATATCTTTCTCAAGGACTAGTTTCCCCTGGCAACATGCTCAATGTTAGTGAGATACAACTTCACAATCCTTCCCTCAAAGCAGCAACATGGTTAGATCCTCTCCAGTAAAGACCTGTTCTCTTGGCAATCCATGGTATGTTCAATGCTCTGCTCCAGCACCACACACAACATAAAAACATTGATTCTTCTTCTGTCATACATAGTCATTGTTCTGCCCTCAGATGCGTAACAAGTAATTGAATCATGCACACTATAGGATTCAAACAAATATCATTGCTCCTCAGTAATTTGGAAAGGTCCTTTACTGCAGACTTTCTTAATACAATACATTCTTCATCTCTTGATTGTTTTTACCAAGTATGTTAATTGTGGATCCAAGTAAAATGAAGTCGTTAATAGCTTCAACTTTTCTCCATCTATCATGATGGTGCCTATTGATCCAGTTGTGAGAAGTTTATTTTTTTCTTGATGTTGAAATGCAATCCATATTGAAGACTGTATATCTTTTTCAGGGAACACTTCAAATTCTTCTCACTTTCAGCAAGCATGATTGTGTCATCTGCAAACACAGGTTGTTGATATATGGAGAGGATACAATCATGACATACACTTTTTCTGATTTTTAAATCGTGTAATGTTTATTCCCTTGCAACTTTTGGAAAAGAGCCTCTTGATCTAGGTATAGGTTTTGCATGAATCCAAGTAAATGTTCTGAGAACCCCATACTTCTCAATGTTAGTCATAATTTTTTATGATCCACACAGTCAAATATATTTGTTGTTTTTAGGTATCATCGAGTCAAGTATGATTCATAGATACCCTATGAACAACAAATCTGAACCACGTCCTGTCCTGTTCCATCCTTACACGTTCTGACACTCTGACACACTAGAGCCTGGTGTGGTAGTTTGTGTCAATCCACCTGGTAGGGGATATTCCTCTCCCACTCAAATCCTTCCAAGTAGCATGTCCCTTTCCAAGGAATAGCCCCTCCTAACAACATGTTCGAAGTATAGGAGGTGAAGCCACATCATCTTTGCCTCCAAAGAGCACTCTGGCTGCACTTTCTCTAAGACATACTTGTTTGTTCTTTTGGCAGTCCATGAGATTGATAATCAGTATCCTTCATCAACACCACAGCTCAAGGGCATCAATTCTTCTTCTATCATCCGTATTCATTTCCAGGCTCTGAGATGCATAGCAAGTGATCAGGTACACTATGGCCTGAATTAAATGCATCATAATCCTCAAACGGATATCATTACTTCTCAATAATTTGGAGAGATCTCTAACTAGAGACTCTTAGTGCAATATGTCTATTTCTTAACTGCTGGGACTTAGTGTGTTAATTGTGGATCCAAGTAAGATGAGCATGTTGACTTCAATTTTTTCTCCATCTATCATAATGTTGCCTATTTGTCCAGTGTCTAAAAAAATCTTTTTCCCCCCTTGATATTAAGATGGATCCATACTGAAGGCTATATTCCTTGATCTCATCAACAGGTGATTTAAGTCCTACTCACTTTTAGCAGAGCAAAGTTGTGTCATCTGCATAACACAGATTATTGATGAATCTCCGTCCAATTCTGGTGCCACATTCCTATTCATAGAGTCCAGAATATCGAATAATTTGGTCAGCATATTTATTGAATAGGTACGGTGAAAGACTATCACCCTAACACACTCCCTTCCTAATTTCAAATCATTTGGTGGTCCCTTACTTTATTCGAAAAACAGCTTTTTGATCTAGGCATAGATCTTGCATGAGCACAATTAAGTGTTTTGGGATTCCCATTGTTCTCAATGATAGCCATAATTTGTTATAATCACACAGTCAAATGCCTTTGAAGGGTCAATAGACATTTTTCTAATATTCTTTACTTTCAGTCACGGTCCATATATCATCAGCAATGATATCCCTGGTGTCATGGCCTCTTTTAAGTCCTGCTTGAACTTCTGGAAGTCTCCTATTTATGTACTGTTCAAGCCATTTTTTAATGATCTTCAGAAGTGTTTTGCTTGTGTGACGTTGATTCCTGGGGCCTTATTTTTTGCCAGTGTCTTCAATGCAGTTTCCAGTTCCTCTTTCATTACCATTGTCTCCTAAATCATATGATAGTTCCTGAAATATTTTGGTGTCTTTCAGTTCTTTTTGATACAATGATTCTATGTATTCCGTCCATCTTCTTTTGATACTCTATGAGTCATTCACTATGTTGCCCACTGTTGTTGTTATGTGCAGTCGAGTCATTTGTGACTCATAGCGACCCTATGTACAACAGCTCTAAACCCTGCTCTATCCTGTGCCAATCTCACTGCCTCTGACACACCCATCCTGATTACCCCAGTCACTGAATCAATCCATCTCATAGAGGCTCTTGCCCTCTTGCGTCATCCCTCCACCCTCCCAAGCATGATGTCCCTCTCCAAGGACCTGTCCCTCCTTGCAACATGTCCAAAGTATGTCAGACAAAGCCCCAGAATCCTTGCCTCCAAGGAGTTGCTTGGTTTAATTCTATCCAGGATGAATCTGTTTGTTTTCTTGGCAGTCCATGGTACATTCAACACTCTTCTCCAGCACCAGAGCTCAAAGGCATCAATTCTCCTTCTGTCCTT